ATATATATATAGTGACGTGATTAGGAAGTGTACATATGTCGAAATATTTACATACGATATCAATATAAAAAATAGTTCTGACTTTCGCAACGAATTTTAATTACAGATGCAATTACTTAATTCGATGCTCGAAACTATTTTTTTCGATTAATTGAGTCAGTTATCCTCGCAGTTTGAATTATCTTGCAATTTGAAATTAATAAGTTTTCTTTTCTTTTCCTTCATAAAAGAACTTGATTATAATTTTTCGAAATATACATAAAACAGGATAACATAGCAATTACTTATACTCTCGTTATTTGATATCTTGTTTATACAAACCTTCGGACGAAAGTTGAAAAAAGAAAAAAAAAAAATCTAGGATTGTTTCTGAAATTTAAAATATTCCTATATTCCAAGAGCGATAGTTAAATTACCTTTTCATAAGTGTAAGGAAATACTGACCTGACGGATGTTTCGGTACGAATTCTACTGTCCTGGTCTTGCATCGCAAACCCTCACCGGTGCCATCGATCCAGATGTATTTCGCCTGAATTTGATTTTCTGGTTGAGGCAGGTCGAGATACTTATTTAACAAGGTTTTGTCTAAGGCTGCATTCGGCGACTCCTTTAGCGTAAGGCGTGACATTGTGACGCTGCAACATGATAAGAACTGTATTAATAAATACGAATGTCGTTTCCTATGTCAAAACACAGTGCAATAACACCGCCAAACAATCCACATTAGAGCATCTATAATAACACGTTATACGAGATTTCATTCGTCCAACGTCTCGATTCTCCTTCTCGTTATAAATAAGACATTATTCTGACGAAATAACGAAAGTATAACTTGAAAATTCGACTGTGATTGTGTCATCGGTCAATATCGACTAAAGATTTCGATATCGAAATCGTTCGAATCGTTTGTTTCGAGATTTGCGACAGAAATATCGATTCTGAATTCTGGCGAATAGTGGCGCCGCATAGCGGTGGAAACGCGTACGTTCCCGCCACGATATTGAGATATATTTGTATATATCAGATGCAGAAGTAAGCTGCATAAAGGATCCTCTCGATTCTCGATTTATTCTCGGTGGGACAAAAAGAGAGGTGCGCCTACGTATCACGCAACACGTATCAGGCATCACGCGGTATGCACGCGACACACACGCGGGAACCGCGTGCTACTTCAGCCCCCAAACAGCGTACGTACATGTACACGTGTTGTTAGTCGCCCACGAGCAACGTACCCGGGACGATCTTTCTTGAAGTCTTTAACCTCTTGCGCTGGAATAACGTGCAACACACATCGAGAATTTTTTTCTTCCAAAATTGCAATATTTTCTCTAATTTTAAATATATTTAAATATAACCCAAGCAAAGCAAATAATAAATTTGTTACTTCTTAGTAATAATTTCTATTCAGTGATATTGTACGAGTTTGATGAAAAGAAAGCGACGAATTATTATATACGGTTTGGTTACTCGTTATGGTCCGTGAACTAGTTGCCAACGCAAGAGATTAACCGATAAACCCTAGCTACACACGTGCAAATATTTCCAACATTTTGAAGGTCAAATCGAACTATTTTTAAAAATTTTTCCCTTTGTTGCTTGCAGACGGTGAATATACCCATTGAAGCCAATATATCCTCAAGTATGGGGAATGTATATAATAAAGTATACTAACACTTTTGTATGCGTATGTTTTTTTATTAATAATTTTAGAAAGCCTTTGCGTTACCAGCATCTTTAGATGGTTACATGAAAATAAAAATAAATACCTAATGAATCCCTTACAGGCATGTAACATCATTTTTATACATTCAATAATATTTGATTTTGCAAAGATTGTTGCAAAGTATATTTAGTGATTTTGTATTTAATGAAAATTTCTATTTCAAATAAAATTAATTGCGTAATCGTTTAAATAATAACAATTTCATTAAATGTAAGGAAATCTGAATATATTTCAAATTAATCACTTGTGATATCTAATCTAATGTTTACTGATAACAGATAAAATATACATACTTTTCTCCAGAGGGGAAGTTATTTGAATCGAGCAGACCATCATTGTTTACAGTAAAAACTATTTTTAAAACACTGAACATCATCTTAACTGATGTCGTTAGGTCGTAAGTAATGGTTTACAATAATTTGGATTAAATTATGTAATTTGCATTTATATAATTTCATCAATTTCGTCACCTCTGTTTCATTCATTTCATTTTCAATTAATTCGTATTTAAATTTTATTAGATTGCTATTATGAAACCACAGCAATCAAAATGATTAAATTTACGGTTCATTATCACTGTGATTAATCTTTTTAATACTTTCCTCAATGAGTACTTCAAGTAACTTTCCAAAAAGTTCGTGGCCACTCTAAAGTATTATTTTTGTAATTGATCAAAGGCAAAAGGCTTTTAACGAGTGATGGCATCGATCAAATAAACAAGTATATCATCTTTTTGAATTACAATTTATGTTCCGATTAGTAAAAATTATCTAATACTTTAGATAATTAAAATACATATCTGATATTTTAATCGACATTAGTAGAAAAGAAACGAAATTGCGAAAAAAAAATATAATAGAAATGTAAAGAAGAAATCTGTATAAAATTTTATAATTAAGATTTTAAATTTATAAAAATTATTGCAATCAAGATGTTGATTAATAGAATTATCAATCTTTCATATTCAATATAGCTGTAAATTTCATTACATAGTTTCATAAATTTTATTTAGGATATCTTTTCAATAATTGTGTTTTAGAAATAAATTAAATTATTAAATGCGTACGATTTAATGGATTCAATACTAGGATCAATGAAAATCAAAGAATCAATCAGATTAAGCTTACAAGCAGTCAATTGAATCTCATTTGTCATTTCAATCATTATTTGATATGATTTGATATAATTTGATATTTTCTTGCTTCCGTTATCACTTTCTTCATTTACATTTCGGTATCAATTTCACTTTTGAACAAACAGCAACATTTTTAAAAAAAATCTAGTCCCACACAATTTTACTAATAATGTTCGAAATCCATTGTTAAAAAAAGTTGATTAAAAGTTGATTAAAGTTGATCAAAGTTTTGATTAGTTGATTCAAGTTTGTGATAATCCTTTACTCTTCCGTTTTGTAAATAAATGTAAATAAAGAAAATTGAGGAAAGATGAATGGGGAAGAAAGAATTTTTTAAAAACCAAGAACGTGAAGAAATCACGAAGGATCAACCTTAGTAGGTCACTAACATAAAACTGTGACATTATTTATATGGCTATCCCTTCCATCCTAAATTCCAGCAAGAATACCGGTTTCATTGTATTCCGAGGTAAATGTTTTTGTTTTACATATCATAATGTATTTGTTATTTTATTGTTTTGCTTTCTCTTAACAATAACTATATGTTGCAATGATAGGTTTCCAGATCAATCGAGATGTATTGATGGAGCACAATATATTACATTTTATTGATCTTAATTCATCCATCCAAGTAATGCTCGAAGGTCATAATCGCGATATTCAGTTTCTCATAAAACGTATCATTAATACTATTCTCACGAGACGTATTAAGGAAATGGTTCATGCTATGTTGTTTCATAAACTTTTGTAAACGTTCTACGTAATCTTCAATTAATTTGTTGCTGGCAGTCAATTAATTTTTAAAAATTTCTCACTAGTAAGATGTTAATCGTAAACTAGAAATAGATAAGTAAATAGATTATCTGGAGTACAAATAATCGCAATTTTGTCCAAAGGAATTTTATAAAAGACCTTATCAGTGAAAAATTACGTAATGGTATTTGCATTTACTCTAGTATTTGTATGTTATTTTCACACAATGATAAGATATTTATTCTCTATTAATCCTTGTAGCAAACATTCTTTTACCTCATAGAAGAGTTAAATAGTCCAAAGTGAGCTTCTTCAAATAAACATGAAACACAGATCCCATTAACTGTACCTCCATTATATTAATATTTAGCGTAGATTTACTTTTTACAAAGCTGTATATAACTACGCTACAATTTGAATAATTTCATTTTTAAATGCTAATCAATATACTGATCAATGGGAGCTAGCGCTATACAAGTGTAAATGTGTGTGTGTGTGTGGTGTGTTATTTTTGATGCGGCAAATGTCAAAATAACCATTTGCAAGATGGTTATTACTGATTGTTGAAACCAAGATTTTTGTCAAGAGCACCGTTGAAACATTGAACATGTCCTGTTGCATGCAACACGTAAGGTTGTGAATTATTAGTTTGCGAGATATGTATTATGCTAAAATGTTCTACTAACCCATTTCTGTCGATAGAAGCAATGTCTATGTCTATATATTCGTTTGATTTCCTTTATACTTGATTAACGATGCTCGATGAACCCTATTTCAATAAAAGCGAGATGAATAAATACATATTTCCCTGCATTTTAAGTTATTATTTCTTTCAAGTGCAATGAAATGGGACTTTATGTAAGTCATTGTATTCCCATTTACAATCGGACAGAAAGAGGTACTCTTTCATTAACTATCTACCTTGCGTTTGATTATTAATAAAAGTTGAGTATATTAACGATGTTATCAGGTTGAGAATTTATAGAACTTAGATCATATCTGATGTGTAGAATTATTATTAACTTTACATTGTCACAACATGTGGAATAACAACTTTGATAAAAAGCATAAATTAATTTCATTAAAACCAAGTCTCTTTTTAAGAACGTTTTATTCTTTATGTATTCCATAGTTTTTGCTAAGAATGAAGTAAATGCATATCTACTGGAAAAACAAATAGTACAAACGAGTGCACAAGTTTATTCTGTAATTTATTTATTGTAACTACGTGGCATTGCGTATGCATTTAATTGTAAAAAAAACACACGATGTTAAAGTAATATTATCAAACGACGTACAAATGTAAAACAGTATTGTTTCGTAATACGTAGTGCATTCGTTTTTATGCCAGAATTTTGAAATGTTGAATTTTATAAGCACGGTATCTTTCTTACACTTAGCCTTGGTTCTAAAATTTACATTTCGCGAAATACACGCGGCTCGTCAACATTTAACGAGAATTCAGGAACTTTCCTTTACCGTTTTCGATATTCCCTAGGAATTTTCCGCTTTCAGAAGAATACATTCAAATGAACGGCTCCATGCTGTGCGGCACACCCTTGAAGTTAGATTGAAAGGAAGCCATGAAGTGTATTAATTATTCTTTTGAAGGGCCGACGAATGTTTTTTTTTTTTTTTTTTTCAAAGTATATATTCCAAAATAAAGTAAAAATATTTTCATACATTTATTTCATTTCTTTCATAAGAAGACGCACGTTACCAATTGAATTAGTCAAGCGCGTATGCATATATACATATATATATATATATATATCAATTTGTATCAAAATTATTTATGATCTTCATTAAACAAAACGTTAACTAAAATTTATGGTACTTTCAATCAACTAATCATTCGATCGATTTTGCATAGTATCTGACAATTGATTAGTATCTACATTGATAATTAATAAGACGTCGTACAATAATAAGTTGTAGTGAGAGTGTAATCAATTTCCAATGCACTTCAACATGAAAATTTATTTCTATATTTTTGTTTGTTCGCGTTACGACAGTCTAGGAGTTTTTAATATTTGCAACGCTCAACATAATAAATTGAATCGTGAATTTTTTTTTAAATACCATGTGACGTTGCCAACTATGTATTTCAGGCACATGTATATACCTCAAGGATACATTCTGTTAATCATGATTTATTCTCGAGAAGCGGTTTCCTCTCGTAATCGGCCTTCCAATGCTACAATTTTCACTTCCGTTTGTTTATCACAATTATAACGATTAGTGATGTACGAACGTCCCCCATAATTTGGCCATTTAAAACAATAGAGCTTTGTCCATCATTCGATGATTTATGTATGCAGCTGTGGATGACATGTGTGTACGCACGTGTTTTGTGTTCAATTAATGTAAAAAATGAAGCTGAAGTTAAAGTAAAGCTTCAACGAAATTAATTGAAGGAAGCACGAAAGACAAATGGCCCTGCACATTAATCTATCTAACTCTAAGTGAATATATACGCTTGTAAATATCAATCCTTATTAAATACTGCTAACTACATTATTTAGTGATTCAATTATATATTCAATTTTACTTCTTACAATGTTATGATAATTATTCTACAAGGAAAGGAAAGATACTTCACTGTAAAAAAAACTGTTAAAACAGTTAACACTCGGTGTACACATTGTGTGATACAATTAATACACAATAAAAAGGTATGAAGTATAACTGTTGACACGATTATTGAATTCGTTAATGTAACATCTATATAACTAACATATCTAATATAACTAACATCTATTCATCGAGTGTCAAGACTATACAATGGGACCATGGTGGGCGTTGAAGTTTGCCAAATGCAATTGGCAGATGGATATATTTATATAGCTCAACTGATGCATGACAGTCGGAAGCAACGGTTCGTAGATAGATAATACACCAACGAAAATAGTTTTCAGTCCAAAGTGCACCAGATTGAAAGTAAACTCGGCTCTTTCGTACAAAACTTCGCGCCATGGTTACTCAATCGGAACGAGAGTTCGTTTTCCGCGCGGCGTTTCATACGCGTTTATTGCCATCAATGTGTTCTTTTTTCACTTCCTGCGTGTAAATACACTCATCCGTCAATGAAGAAAGTGTATATAAGTACATATTTTTCTTCATAATGGATTATCAGTAAGGATTGTCACTAAGAAAAAAAACAACATTTATTCGCCGATAAAGATCGAACGATACGATGATTAAGGAACGTAAAACTCATTTGTTTTGGAATAACTGAACTTGATATTCTCTGTTTTTGTGAACACGATGATAAGCATGTAGGTTTTACAGCTAGAGCTTCTACGAGGAAACAATATTTGTTCATTGATAAGATTAAACAGGGACAAATTCGATAGCTATGTACTTGAAAGTGTTTCGGAAAAGTCTTTCGAAGACTAGATCTTTCGGATCTAGTTTCTAATCTTGAATTTTCTTACGTATTTTTACACTATTAATTTTAATTAAACGTCATCGTTTTTCGCCAACTA